GATGTGAAGTAGCAAAAGTGCAAAATGCCCCCCCCCCCACCGCCGCCGTCTTGCTCTGTTACTGCAGGAGCAGACGGCATGCTACGCTTCTTTTGACTCGGAATGGGTTGGAGTAGACTGAGTCCTCCTTACCGAGCCATTGCGCACGACAACATTCTACGGCTTGGGTGAAGAGAAGTGCATCGTTGAGCCAATGGAAAGCATTATTCTTTCTGTATACGTCCTGGGGCAAGACGGAGCTAATTAGTAACGCAATTCCAAAGATTCGCTGCTGGCCAGTCCCTTTTTAGTGATGCGACATGCATTCATTCATACTTCCATTCAGAATAGTAGTGGCTTACAGAATGCCATGCAGCCCATACAATGAATTCCGGGGCCCAGCCAATGCACAAGTCAGCTTTATTGTACTTCTAGACGAGCCTGGTACCACTTTACCGTCTTCTGAGAGTAGAAGGCTTCGTTCGCCTGGGTGGGAGCCGATCCGGGATTCGAGACCCGGGACTGCGCGAGTAGTAAGCGTCCCATATGCCACTACACTACTTCCGCCTCAGAGCTATAATATAGTAACTAGTGTAGTAACTAGCAGCAACGGAAAGAGGGTGAGAGTCGGAAAGTCACAGCAGGTCCCTGAAAGACTCCCAAGCCACATAAGACTTAAGGAATGACCTAAGGAATGGATAAAGTATACGTCATAGTTGTGAAGTGCAATTATATCGTTTTTGACCATCAAGAAGGCGGAGGAAGGAGGAACGTATTTAGCACGGCAGGTTCTATATCTTACTTTTTCGTTTCTCTCTTTGTACTTCCCCTCCCTCCACCCACTTGGCAGTCCTCTTCGCTTCGGATGTTGGGGCGGGGGGGGGGGAGTCGGCAGGAGGCTGGGTTTGGCGCGGCGCCAGCACGTTCCAACCAATGTTGTATCTTTTCCCTCTAACGACTGAAGAAGAACGCATTATGGCAGACTTCATTCTACAGTCTGATAATTTGTAATTTAAGGGCTTTGAGTCACTTTCAGACCTTCGAAGAAGAAGAGATGGTTGAAGACTATTGTAAGAGTAATCAATATTTTGTCGCTATCTCTTCTATTCCATCTGACGTCACGTTCCTATCGTTTCCCCTGGAATGCCCTTTCTTGGTACCCCTTTTGCTTGCGAGGATTGCGGAAGGGGGACTCTTATCTTGTGTTTTCTTTGAAGCAACGTCTAGTAAGAGCATGCATTCTGGAAGTATTGGGTCGGCTCGTAACTCAACGACGTTTTTTTTTCTTACTCAATATCGCGCTACGAAGGAAAAGTTTTACAACTGAATTTTATACCGTTTTGCGAGGAATTCTTTGCCCTCTACGATAGTCCTCTTACCTTTTTCTGTTTCCGCCAGTATTTAAGTGCTCAAACTAGAGTGTCAGGTCGACAAAATTTGAGCATTTTCGGCAGCCTCTTTTTTTACCTCTAATTAAAGAGCCAAAACTACACAGGCACAGCTGTTATGTAT